CCCTGCCATGGTTCGCCCGTCAGGAGCCTTCTGTGAAATCCTGTGATCCGCTTCCACTGCCCCCGCGTGCCCGCCGCCGCCTGGGGAAGCGATCCTGTACCCACAGGGTTAACCTGGGCTCATGGGGGTGATCTGGTCTCCCCCACACACTTCTCCCCCCCACCAGCTCCACCTCCCCCCATGCTGCTGCCACTGATGGAGAGAGGGAGTAGGCTGGAGCCAATATGCACCAGGAGCAGCTCTGTGGGCCCCCTCCCTCCCCCTTGCTGCCTCCTACAGAGGCAGCGCGGAGGGGGCTGGGGGAGCCAGCTTAAATGCTGGTTCCCTAGGGTTACCATTTTTGAACTTTCGAAACCCCCCCACCAGCTCCACCTCCCCCCATGCTGCTGCCACTGATGGAGAGAGGGAGTAGGCTGGAGCCAATATGCACCAGGAGCAGCTCTGTGGGCCCCCTCCCTCCCCCTTGCTGCCTCCTACAGAGGCAGCGCGGAGGGGGCTGGGGGAGCCAGCTTAAATGCTGGTTCCCTAGGGTTACCATTTTTGAACTTTCGAAAAAGAGGACACTCCTGAGAGGGAGCGTGTCAGTGTCCACCAACTGCTCAGGTTGTATTAATGTGTCATAGTGGGGCAGCAGGCAACCAGTCGGCCTGGGGAGATGGTTTTTTAACTGGCTCCCTAAACGGACCAGCTCCGCCTGCCATTCCATGCTGCTGTCCCTGATACAGAGGTAACAGTGCAGGGGGGCTCCCCTGGGACTATCAAATAGTGGTGTAACCCCTAAAATGTCATGTGATTACATGACTATTCAATTACACAATATCTAACCTACCTACCTCCACATCTTAGGCACGTTAATTACCTTATTATATAAAATCCAAGGTGCTTGCCCACCCCTACACCATCCCCAGGCAAAGCAATTCTTGTATCCCTTGCTCTTGGGACCAGCCTCCCACACCACAGATCATTTTCCACCAGATGTGTTAGCTGCAGTTTTCCCAGCTGAATCTCATTGCTATTTTTAACCCCTGTTTCTAATCTGCAGGAGAGGACCATGATGGGGTATATATCTCATCACAGTCCTGAATAGATAGAAAGGGCCTATTAACCCTATAACAGGCTATCCCTGGAATATAGTCAGAGCTGCTAACCTCTTAAGTGATTAATCACAGTGGGGCAGAGGCATGCAGAGCTTATATAAAACGCAAGAAGGAGGATGGTGCAAGATAGGGGCTATGGGGAAAAAAGGGGGTGTTAAGTAAGAGACAAAAATAATCCTTGGGAGTCTTACCTGGGAATAGAGATGCTGGCCAGAACTAGAGGGAGGATGAAGTAACCACTGTGATGGGTTGGATCACAGACATCCCCTTCAGAATGTCACTGATGTGCTGATCATACCACTGAGCTCGCCTACCCTGTCCTGCTGGGCCAGAAGCTCTGGTCTCCCCCAGCAAAGGCACAGAGTTGGGATAACAGACCCTCAGCACAGTAACACAGACACTGATAATAGCTCATCTCTCTGAGGGCTCAATAACAGGGACTTGACAACACTTAGGAGTACAGCCTCAAATAGGGACCAGTCCCCCCAGTAAATCTGTCTTACTCTGAATAAAAGTTTTACACAGAGAAAGCTCATAAAATTTGTTCTCTTTATCAATGAAATAGATGTACACATCTGTTGTCCCTGTCCCACAAGTAACAGTTATTTACACTGGGTTGATAATAAACAAAAGTGATTTTATTAAGTATAAAAGGTAGGATTATAATGATTGCAAGTGGTGACAGAGCAAAGTAAGTTAATAAGCTAAAATAAACAAAATATGCCAGCTAAGCCTAATACACTGAGGCTACGTCTACACTGGCCCCTTTTCCGGAAGGGGCATGTAAATTTCACGAGTCATCGTAGGGAAATCCGCGGGGGATTTAAATATCCCCCGCGGCATTTAAATAAAAATGTCCGCCGCTTTTTTCCGGCTTTTAAAAAAGCCGGAAAAGAGCGTCTAGACTGGCCCCGATCCTCCGGAAAAAGTGCCCTTTTCCGGAGGCTCTTATTCTTACTTCTTATTCTTTTCTTTGAAGTAAGAATAAGAGCCTCCGGAAAAGGGCACTTTTTCCGGAGGATCGGGGCCAGTCTAGACGCTCTTTTCCGGCTTTTTTAAAAGCCGGAAAAAAGCGGCGGACATTTTTATTTAAATGCCGCGGGGGATATTTAAATCCCCCGCGGATTTCCCTACGACGACTCATGAAATTTACATGCCCCTTCCGGAAAAGGGGCCAGTGTAGACGTAGCCTGAGAGAAATTGTTACATAACATAATTCCTCCCCGTAGTTCTTACTTCAGGTAAAATTCTTCAAGTCAGAGTTCATCTTTTCTCTGACCTGGGCCTAACAGCTGCTCCCGTTGTTAGGGTTGTTTCTCGGTCTCTTCGGCTATGTCTACACTCGCGACTTCTTGTGCAAGTATGGCTGTTCTTGCACAAGAATCCGCAGAGCGTCCACACGGCCCGCCCGCTCTTGCGCAAGAAGATTTACAGTACGGTGTGGTAAGAGAGGGCTTCTTGCGCAAGAGCTATGCTCTTTTTTAACAGGTGTAAGCCCTCTTCGCAGGCTCTCTTGTGCAAGAGGGCAGTGTGGACGCTCGGCAGGGATTTTTTGCACAAGGAAATCAGAGCTTTCTTGCGCAAGAGAGCATCCACACTGCCATGGGCGCTCTTGTGCAAAAGCACAGGTCGCACATGGCAGTGTGGACGTTTTCTTGCGCAAGACTTCTTGCACAAGAACCCTTGCACAAGATGTTCTTGTGCAAGAAGCCACCAGTGTAGACATAGCCTTCATGTGTCCTCTTGTGGAGGGGAGCAGTTTGTGAAGCTAGTTAAAGACAATCATATATTGATTCTGTTCCCTTAAATACAATTTTCCCAATGTGGGAAGTCTTTGTTTCATCCTCCCCATCCCAAAGGAAAAAAAACAGATTCAGGCAGCATGGTCACCGGTCTTTGTAGGAACAACTAGGCTGTGTCTAGACTGGCCAGTTTTTCCGGAAAATCAGCCGCTTTTCTGGAAAAACTTGCCAGCTGTCTACACTGGCTGCTTGAATTTCCGCAAAAGCACTGACGAACTCATGTAAGATTGTCAGTGTTCTTGCGGAAATACTATGCTGCTTCCGTTCAGGCAAAAGTCCTTTTGCGCAAAACTTTTGCGTAAAAGGGCCAGTGTAGACAGCTCAGATTTGTTTTCTGCAAAAAAGCCCCAATCGCGAAAATGGCGATCGGGGCTTTTTTGCGGAAAAGTGCGTCTAGATTGGTATGGACGCTTTTCCGCAAAAAGTGCTTTTGCGGAAAAGTGTCCGTGCCAATCTAGACGCTCTCTTCCGAAAATGCTTTTAACGGAAAACTTTTCCGTTAAAAGCATTTCCGGAAAATCATGCCAGTCTAGACATAGCCCTACAGTTTAGGCTTACAGGAAAAACAAAACAAATTACAGATTGTTGCCTCAAGCACTGGGCCATTAAGTTCCTTAATTACCACTATTGGCTTTTACTAGAAGACTTAGTTTAATAAGGAGGTTTACACTTCTTATTTATAACTTCACATGCAAGAAAGATATATGCACACAAACAGAATCTACACATGCAGGGAATCACACGTTCTTGAAGGATAGGTTACTTGCCCCATTCTGCATAAAGCATATTTTAGTTATGCATATTCATATTCAAAAGCATATTTTGCATAAAAACATGGGGTGTAACATCACAGCCAAATGGAACAGAGGATGTTCTATTGGTAACTATTGGGCCAGCAGAGGGACACAGTAGATGGGGAAAAAACAACAGGGTCTAATATTGGATAGTATGTGGTTTTGGGGCTGGAACTTGGAGTGAAAGGTAAGCCTGGATGCTTCTACCAGCTACCAGAAAAGTGGCACAGTCTAGGTGGTGTAACAGAAGACTGCCTGACACATTTGTACTTTGATACCCCAGAAGAGGAAAACTGTATTAATCTGGCTACAGGGCCAAAATTGAGAGGGTCTGGGTGTTGGAAGGAAGTATGTGTGCTAGGACTACATGTAGCTGTATTTCTCCAGCCTAGTAGTTGTGAAAAGAAGTTTGTTTAGTAGTAAAAACCTATCTTATTTTCTATACAGACTGTTATAGGCTTTTCAGTTAATCTGAGCCAGAGTCCTCTTCTGTAAAAATCTACAGCTAGTCAGCTTTTGCTAGTGATTTTTCATTTTTCTGAGTTGACTGGAATTCTTGGATGGCCTGGAAGATGAGGCCCATCTTGTGATGGAGCTAGTTAGAAGCCAGGATCTCAAAAGG